ACCATTCACTTTGTGTCCTCCAAGAAGTATTAAGCTATGTCTATGAGAGGGTATGTTTGTGAACAGAGTGGTAATTTTTTTATTATGTGGGGTTTGGAGGAAAATGTGCACTTTCTTTTTTTCTTCCCTTTATTTTCCACCCTCAGTAATAATATTCTGTGCTTACCCTCTCAGAATTGAGATGGAAGGAAGTGGTGGCCTCAGGTCAGTGTTGTGCTGCTGTGGCTGCAGGTGCTCTGCAGTAGCTGGTGCAGCTCAAGCTTTAGCAACAGAACTGTTTTCATCATGAATATGACAACTTTGTGAGGCAGTAGTGTAGGTAATTTTGTTGCTCATCATGTAGTAGCTTGTGTCTGTGGATTGGTATCTTGTGCGCTGATTTAGGTATGGCTTTTATAGCTCTCAGTCAAATTGTTGGCACTGAACTTAGCATGTGACAAGAGCTTAGAATTAGATTCTCAGGACTGTCAGAACATCAGTGCCACAGATGCTCCTTTTCTGCGTGGTTTTGGTTTTTAATTCTAGCAGTAGTTTTTACCTTTGTTTTTAAGCACTGTCCTCCTTTTCACTAATGCAAGGAACATTGCTGTGCACAGATGCTGAATGGTGGAGTTTTCATGTCTGCATCAGAAGGAAAGTTGTCATTTCATTTGCATTTGTAAGAACTGCAACAAGTATCCCAGCAGCCAGCCTCACAGCGCTGAGAATGAGACCATCTCAGGTTCAGACAAGTGCCTGACAATCACCAGGTGCTTCAGGCACTGCTAACCAGCTGCATGCAGCAGAGAACAGCTCCTGCGTCTGGGGAGGGAGAAACAAGGGCTGGGATCACAGCACTTGGCTGTATCCTCCAGGCCTTCCAAAAGTCTAGAATTTCTCTGGCATAGAACAAATGGATGGTGATTGCTATTTTACAAGGGAGATATCATTAATGATTGCACTTTGGGAGTCACAGCCTTAGGTTGTTATCAGTAAGTGAGCAGTCGCTTCAGTGGGGGAACTTACTGTGCAGGTGTGCCAGGCCATTCAATGTATGGATTAAGAAAGAAATAATATTGGAAGCAGTAAAGTTCCAAAGTTGCCATGGGTCATGTATGGGACATAAGTACTAATTCCATCTTTCCTTCCTTTTGAGTACCTGAGCAGTAAAAGAGGTAAGATTCACAATGACACAAAGCCTGGTGGATTGCAGAGAAGGTGTCACACACATTAATGTTCATGGGGCAAGGCAGGGACAATGCCAGTTATACCTGTAAGAAGGTGAAACTTTTACGTAGGTAAGCCAGTTCTTTTTGTTTGGCCAGTGCATTCAATCTGGTGTGTTTTAAATACTGGGAGTAATTCTGGGAACCTGACCTATACTTTGCTTCTTTTGCCTCGCACAACTGAACAAGGGCTGCTGGACAGCAGCAAAAAGGGCTTTACCACTGGCTGTGAAGACAATACATAGTAGCTGTGGAATGTGCCTCTGATGTTTTGAAGGGCTATTGCATAGGCTTCTTGAACTTCAGTGGTCTGAATAGTGTTATTTCTAAGTGTCCTGTTTTGCTTAATATTCATGAATCAGTGTAGGAAACATCCACCTGAGGAAATTAGGACTGGTGGTTGTGAATAGCTTGTCACCAGTGAAGTCACGCCACAGTACTGTTGATGGAGTGTTAACAGCTGGCTTTAATGGTGTGCCTTAGCATTGCTGGATGATGCTTTTCTGTAGTTAAACTTAGCTTGAATACGACTGTTAAATAATTTATAAATGTCTGTTATAAATTTGGTGGAGAGGATGCTGATTTGGGCTGTGGGTTTCATTATGACTATAAATCACACTTCGTGGAGCAAACACTTTTAATAGAAGTAAATAACAAACACACTTATTTGCTAGCAAGAGTAATCTTGCCAAAGACTTTAAATGATATTTGGAGTGGGGAGTGTTGACTGCTCCTACAGAAATAAAGGAGGTGGGGAGTGTGTACAAATGTATCTCCATCACAGTTCTTTTCAACACCTTTCTCAAGTGCTTGGTGGCTCTCTCAGCATCTTCTTGAGATGCTATCTCAGCATCTTAGTGATACTTCTAGGTTGTTAATCCGCAACTAACAATTCTGCTAAAAATCTAAAGCCACAATCGGGAGGGGGAGGATGACATTTGTTATTCTGGGCTCGAGTGTAGGGACAGTGCAGTTAATGTTACTGAACTTGTTACAGGCAGTGGTGATTATGGCAGATATATCACTTCTGTGGGTGACAAAGTCCAGAGAAGGCAACTTTACAAGACCACCGTGGTTCATACTCTGCCGGGCTGAGATGACCACAGAGCTTGTTGGAAATGAGCACTGGAAAGTCTCCGGTCAGAGTGGGAACAATGTGGCCACGCTTTGAAATGCCTGGGAAAGACCAGAGGTGTCTTCCAGAGACTTTATCAGAATGGTCCTCGAGGGCTGAAGAAACATTCTTTCCCAGAAAGAAAACCCTGAAAGAGAAGAAGGGTTGTTGCCACAGCTTGCTCATGAGTCAAAGCAAACTGAACCCTCGTGCTGCTCTGAGTGCTGCATGTGTGGTACCTACCTCTGCTGCTGTGGTAATGCAGCATGAGTGCAGTGTGCTCTGGACTTGGGTAGTTGGATCTGGAAACTCAAACCATTGAATTTTGCTAGTTTTGGATTTCCTGTTAATGTTAGAAATGCTCTTCCCACAGTCGTGAAACCTGACCATACATTTACTAGATTGCTTACAAGGATTATTAGAAATTTCCTGTGTACTTTATTTTTCTAATAAGATATTGATTTCAGTATATATCTGTTCATACTTGCAATGAATTGATTTATGGTGGCAGAAATTCTGTTTTGCTGCCAAAACCTAATGGCCACTAGCTAATGCAATTTCTCTCCCCCCTCCCCCTTTTTTCTGAAACCACCAGTGATTTTCCAAAAATAAACTGGGTATGCCAAATTTTGATTCAGTTGCTTTGCCCAACATTTTGAATGGGTTGAGGAAGGACAGGAGACAGAAGCCAATGTGGGCATCTCAGAGATGCTGTACTACAGTCCCACATATGTTGCTTGTCTCTTCTTAGCACTTTGTGTTCTGTCAGTCAGACCCATGCTGCCACCTCCGGCACTCTCTGTCTACCAGGGTGAAATGGCTCAGTTCTACCGTTTTTATGCCAAAACTCCTCTCTTGGCTAGAGGTTTTAGGGCTATTTTAAATTAACCATTCTCTTTTGTCTGGTGTACAACATCCAGAACTTGATTTGAATCTCTTGTGTCATATATGTAAATGTTTTGTACAATGGTTTTGACTACTCTCTAATAGACAAGTGGATGTTTTAAAAGATACACGTTGGTGTTTTGAATGACTGAATTTAAATATGTCAGTTTTACGTATAAGAGATTATGAAATCAGATGTCCTGTTTTGTATTTCTTAACCATATCATGTCCTCTGCCTATCCCTTTTCAAGTGGTTATTAATGAACAGTTTTAGTTTTCAGGTGCCTGAATTACTTTAAAGTTTGTGTGTGTGCTCCTATACTTTATTTTTGTGTTGTTGTGTTTTTAAAGAGCTGCCCTAAGAGCCATAAACATGATTACCCAGTATAAATATTGTCTCTCGACTGAGTGGCCAGAAGTTAATTGTTCTGCAGGATTGCTGTGTGGGGTGTCTTCAACCCACACAGTTTTGTACTAGAATCAAAAAGGAACAAATGGGAAAATATTATATTATGAATGCCTGGTGGATTCTAAATGTTTTAAAGAGGTTACATTAACAGGTCAGAAGAAAGTTTTAAGAACTCTGTGGTTTATTTCCGTGTTTGTGAGCATTTGGGATGTCCTGTCTGCGCTGTTGCTGGACATGTTTCATTGAATGTGTCGGTGATTTTATTTCACTATTGATGTGAACCTGAGTGGAAAGTGCCACAGTGCCAGTCAGCTCTCAGATGAGCATTTGGTTTAAAAAAAGTAAAATTCTTGCTGCTTTTGGTGTGATAAATGATGCCTCAGTTAATTGGTTTATATATAATAAAATATTGTTTAATAGAAACGTGTTAGCCCTTCTACCTTCAATAAAAATTTTTCATCTAAGATTTAGATCTATTTAAAGGTTATATTTAAGTGTTTGTTTGGTTCCCTCTGTACAAAAGTCACTTCTTTCAGAATAGGTCAGAAGTGTCTTAAGAAATATGTGTAATTTTGTCCTAATAATAACTGAGTATCTCAAATGCCAAATTCTTCTCTCCCTAAAAGTTTAAAGAAAACAGTGGAATGTGCAAATATGGAAGAAATCTAAAATACTTGAAATGTAGCCGGTAGAGGCGAGAGGATACGTGAAGAGGGCAAACCCGGGGTTGGCAGCACCCCGATCTGTCTGGGACAGCCCAGCCAGCTCCATCTCTCCCCTCACCCTCCTGGCACTGGAATACCCTTGGGGAAAAAGAGTCATGAGCAATAAAGTTTTAAAAAACCTTGTTGCTGAAAAAAGAATAAATTTACATTCTTGAGTGGCGTCCACTGTGTGGTGAAACTGCCCTTGCCGGGGGGGCGCAGAGGGCAGGACTGAGCTCTGGGCAGTTGTCAGACGTACAGCTCCGTGTCTCTCGAGGTCCATATGTGGAAGCCCTTGCTTCATGTGAAACCTGAGTTGCATTCTTTGGCAGAGATAGTGCTGCAAAACATTGTTTGACTGTGTATTTAGGAACAGCAGCCTCAAAGTCCTGGCATGAAAGAAGAATGTGGTCCAATTATTATTTTTTCCAATTGTTCTGTTCTTTAATGAGGAATTATGTAAACTTTTAAGGGGAGTGAAATAAAAATAAAATTCAAAAAACTTATGCAAAAAAAAACAGAAGCAGCCTGAAAATATTAAAAACTGAGATTCTGAGGTCTTTGTCCTTTCATTCCTGGTTTCCAAACAGTCCTTCTTGGAGTATTCTCTTTGTCATAGGAAAAGGAAAATATAGTTTTGTTCATTTCACAAGTTAGATTCTTTTTTTGTGTGTTATTAACAGGTTTGGCAAACATCGCAAAGATGACAAGAGTGAGAAAACTGGTAAAATAAAAGTGCAGGAAGCTCTTACTTCAGAAGAGGAGAGAATACGAATGAAGCAAGAACAGGAGAGGTAGACTTCAGTATTTGCTTAAACCTTGATAGAGAGAGTTTGTTTTTTAAATTAAATAACTGAAGTTCGATTTTCACTGATGAAATTTCCCACATGTTGATATGTTTATCTACTTTAAATAACAAGACAAGGCTGGATTTATTTTGGACATTAGTATCAACAGCTCCTTTGGCTGCGTTAAACATCTTTTATAGACCCAGAGCTCCCTTCCTTACTGAGGAGACTGAAGTAATAAAATGAAATGATGTCTCTATATATTCTATACCTGATTTTATTGACATTTTCAAAAAACAAATATTTATATAGAATGAAGTATGTTTTGTATTTTTCTTCAAAGTCTTGCATATCTAGTTTTTCATTGATAAATTTAGGAAAAAACTAAAAATTATATTTACCAGTATATTTGTCACTGGAGTTCAGTCTATTTATGTGCTATGCAGTCTGTTTGTGGAATAATATGTATATTAAACTGCTAATTGTAAAAATGAGTGGTGAGTACCTCTATTTATCCTTGTCAGCTTTCCTTAACATAAAAGACCCTATATATTATAAATGTCATATGCTCTTCTCAGTATTTCCAGTCTAGTTTTCATCCTGTCTCTTGTAATCCTAGATATTTGGGGCCTAGACTCTGGTGTCTCTTAGATCAATTTGGTCAAAATCCGGGAAAGCTTAGGTTATATGTTAACTAGTATTTGAGGATGTGTGTGGAGAGATAACCTCTTTGAGTAGCATCACTTCAGTACGGAAACAAACTTTACAAAATTTGATTGCTAAATGGTAAATAGATTCAGACACATTTAGCAGTGAAAGTGAAGTATGAATTAGAAGTATTTATTTAAAAATCATGCCATAAATTTAGAATTAATGCAGGAACTCTGGAGGGAAATTTTGTTGTCTTTGTCCAGGAGGTATCACTAGTTAGTCATCATGATTCCTTTAACCATTATGTACCTTGGTGTTCTGCGGGTAAGAGCAAAAGTTATAAATGAAGGATTCATCACTAACAGCTCAGTGGGATAGCAAAGCCACAGTAATTCCTGTGTAGTCTCCTCAGTTAATCCTAAAATGGTTTGCTTTCAGTTCTTTTAAGGTTGAGTGATTTATGTTACAGTTAAGGCAGGCTAGGAACATGCATTCATTAGTTTTACTTGTTAAACTCCAGAAACTTTATCATTTGTGACCATCCATTTAGATTATATTATGGGATTTTTTTTACTCTTTAACAAATATACTAGCATAAATTGACGTAAAAATTTATTCATGTCCTTCTCCATCCATTCTGACAGTAGAGGGTGGCTAGATTACAGTGCCTGGATGTTTTTTACTTGTCTGATGGGTTTTTATTTTCTCTTTTTTAACAAAAGTGAGACAGAGTCCTTAAATTTATTCCTGTTTTTAAAACTAAAGTGCTTTCAGATTAAATGCTAAAGGGGAAGACTGGAATTGAAGGAAATAAGTGACTTTGGATATGAAGGTGATTGTGCAGCCAGCTTCCCTTTACGTATGGGTAGAGCAGTCCCTTGGTGGATAAACTCCTGCCAGAGGTGCAGAGCTGTGAAAGCTGCCTCCGTTGCTCCAACCAGCTGAGGGCAGGAGGACAGCTGGCCACACATGCACTGCCCTGCTTCCTCCATACACCCTGCTGAACCCCAGCTGGCCCTGCTTGGAGGGTTTCTTAGCAGCATTAGTTTAATCAAAGAAGAAAGAATTTACATGTGAGTTAGTAACATTTTCTCTCTCTTCATTCTCTTTCTTTGTCTCTCTGTGTCTCTCTGTCTCTCTCCGTAAGAACGGTGAGAGTATAGACTGCCCATGTGATGATATAAGAGAGGTTGCAATAGTCACGCTGGGTTCCAAGGTAGAATTATGAAATTATTTGTATAGCCCTCAATGCATGGAGCAAATTCCTAATCCCTGTCCATCAAGTTATGCTAACCAATTTGAATCTTTCCTAGAATCTCACTCTTCGTTTGTTATAAAATCAATATTAAGTGTTCACTGAAACTGCAGAAAATGCATGTGCCAGAACTTCATAACAGCTTGATATTACTGTAACACGGGTCTTCCTCTTCCCGTTACTCTCTTTCCCTGTGTATTTGCTTTCCTTTGTGTTATGTCTATAAGAGAATGCAACTTCTTTGGGGTAGTGGCATGTACAACTAATAAAAGATAATAAAATAGCAACCAAATGTGTGAGGTGCTTCCTTATGTTTCTGAAAAATTCAGATGTTGATTTGGTCCATAGAGACTAAATATTTTTGCAGTTAGATTGCAGAGAGTTTACTTTTGATCCTGTAAAATTATGATGTTAGATACATGCTGTTAATGAAGAGTACTCTTGCAAATTAGCTGAACAATCGCTCAAAATGCTTACTAGGAGACAGAGTAAAATATTACTGTCAGTGTTGGCTCATCATGGCTGCTATTTTAACTTTGTTTTCTGTGGTTTTTTTTCCCCTCAATTTTTTTAGCATACAGTTCACTTGTTTGATAGTATATACCTCTAAAGTGATGCAATACTTTGGGGAAACAGGTTGGATTTAATGAATTTACTATGTATGAGAGGCTAGGAGCAAAAATCCTTAGGGGGGTCAGAGAACAAGTGAACAGCCCATTAAAAAATCAATCATGCCCACAATTTTATGGAATTATTATGCCTTGACTTGATAATTTTAATGGTATTGTGCTTTCAATAGTATTTTCTTTAAAACCTTAAAAGCAGTGTACATGTGGATTATGAGACAAATAAGGAAACTAATGCTCTTCAATTTACCATTATTAAAATAATTAAAATGGCCTTCTATAAACATATTATTAGTAATAATTTCTTGATTCTGTGATTAAGGAGCATATCTCTTAAGCTGTATATGGTTCACTGACAATCTTAAAGTAATTTCAATCAGAAAATGAAGTTATCTAGTTGAAAATACAGGCAGCTTTCAGTGAAAAACAAATACTGGAACAATTAGGGAAGTCATCTGAGGAGACCACCCACCAGTCTTACCAAAAATGATGTAAAATGCTTGCTATTTTTAAATTTTCCAAATATTGGAATAACAGTTCATCCAAGGCCATAGAACGTTGCCTTGTGTCACTGTGCTTTAACACTGGTTTACTGCTGAAAGACTGCTTGCATCATTAAGTATCTGCCAAGCACTGATCTGAAAATCCAGCTGGGCTCTGCTGTGCTCTTGGAAAGGGTGCTTCTCTCCGACAGTGGCACCAATCAAAACCTCAAGGCAAAAATAAGCAGTAGGTTTTCTGAACTTGGCCTTGTGTCTCCTTAGAAGGAATCTATACTGCAGAGTCTTGAGGAAGCTGAATACGACTTAACTTCAGTTAGCTCTATTCCTGTGCCAGATCACAGCTGGTCTATATATATGCTGACTTGGAACCCCTCTTTGCTATGTGATCATCTCATCTATCGCAGGACTACTCAAACTGGGTACAACTGAGAGTCTACATTCACTTGCACAGGCTGAGAAAACAGCCCTGGGCCCTTCATGGTTTTGTTATGGAAGGTCTTCTAGAATTCCAGAGTCCTGTGGTGGGCCTGTGGTTTGCACATCTTCCTAAAATCTCTTGGATTTTACAGACTGGACATGAGTGGAATATCTTGAGCTTTCAGAGATGCTTCTAACTACTTATACTTTTACACAGGCTTTGCTATGTAGGATAGACTTAAAACCAGATTTTGAAACTTTTATCAGTGACCAAGAGGAATTAGTTCATATGAATGTTCACTTTCTCCTGTGCTTCTAGATCTAAACCTCTGGAAGCCCACAGACCTTTCCAGTCTAGAAACTCTCTTCATCTAGTCTTTGAGGGCCTCCCAGGGTAGACTTTGCTCAATATGTAGCCAGTGTGTCCATTGATATCCTGCAACCCAAATGCCCTGAAATTTTTTCTGAGTTCTTAAAAGCCCTTTAGTGTAGTTTCTTTCTTAGGAGATGGGAAGACAGAACTGTTCAGAAAACCTACTGCCTTTGTGTTCTGGCCCTTCCTTGAGAGAGACATCCCTCCAACAACAGGAACTGATACCTTTGTTTCTCCCTCTTTCACCCTTGTATTTTTCTTCAATTTCATTTTTTATTGGTAGTCGTTTTGTGCTTTTTTTTCCTTGCTTTTTTTTTTCTTTCTTTGCTTTTTTCTTTCCCCTGCAGCTCTGTGTTCATTACAAAATAAATCTTCAGCAAATCCAGAACCTTTGCCTGTAATCTGCTCTTCTTTAGCTCAGGGATGTGCAGTTCTCGACACACATGGCAAGGCCACACATGCTGGCTGTATCCAGCCTTGGACTGACTTCCTCTGGCAATGCAAGTGCTCCCCAACCCAAACAACTTTTCACTTTGTACCCAGGTAGTAGATAAGAGAGGAATGAACTAAACATACTTCTTTGTGAAATTTTCAAGAAATTCATCTGAAGCCAGCATGGTTCACTGCTGGATAAAAGACAAAAGTTGCAATTCTAATGTAGTCTCACGATTCAAAGTTCATGATCCCAGCTGTGGACGAACAGTGCTTATGCTGTAATCCACCTCTAGAGGCACTTCCTTCTCTTGGAAAGAAAGCCTACAGGATGTTTTCTCAGGTTAATAGAATGTTTTAAGAGCTTTGGCCATGTTCTATAAATCTCTGGGTTACCATAGAAGTGTTTTAATCTTAGTATTGTATTCTTCTTCAATTTCCACCGAAATGGATGCAAAATCAAGTGCTTAAACACTTAAACACCCGTGTTGGGAGGATCAGTCTTGAGGCGATAAGGGGAAACCTTTCAGAAGAGAATTACAGTGCTGTACTGGTGGAAGCGCTGTGATGGAGGCTCCAGAGATGCTGGGAGGATGACAGAGCGGTCAGAAGGCGGCTTGTGGAGCCGGAGGTTTCCTCTGCTTTGTAAAAGCAGCTGTACAATTACAGCTTCCGCAGGACAATTAACACGGCAGAGCAGTGCCGCGCTGGGAAGGTGCGTGTATAGTCACCATCTGAAACAGAAACCT